GAGAGAGAGAGAGAGAGAGAGAGAGAGAGAGAGAGAGAGAGAGAAGGTGGCCTTGGAAGCCTGAAGAGGCTGTCAGATCCCCTGGAGTTGGGAGTTACAGGCAATTGTGAGCTGCCCAAATTTGGGTCCTTCACAAGAACAGCATGCATTCAACTGCTGAGTCAGCTCTCTGGCTTCTATTTTTCATATTTAACTAGGAAGAAATGCTTGGAGAACTAAAGTAACTTGCTTAAAGTCAGATTTTATGGCAGAATGAAAATTGAAGACTGATTTCAAATTAGCTAAAAAGTCCTTGGCTTTTCCATAAAAATATTTTGTTGAGATAATGATATAAGGTACTTTGGTAATTCTTTGTTTAACATGTTTGTGTGTATGCTAATGCCATGACACACATGTGGAAGTCAGAGGACAAACTTGAGGGAGTCAGTTCTCTCCTTCCACCATTTGGTCAGGGTGATGTTAGGCTTGTGGAGCAAGTTCCTTTTACTCAGTGAGCCATTTTGGTGACCATATGCTTTGGAAATTATGAAATGTTAAAGGGAAAAGTTATTTTTGCAGGACTGAAGAGATGACTCAGCAGTTAAGAGCACTGGCTGTTCTTTTAGGGAACCTGGGTTTGGCTCCCAGCACCCACATGGCAGCTAATAACCATCCATCACTCCAGTTCCAGGGGATCTGACATCCTCTTCTAACCTCTGTAGGCACTACATGATACATGCACTTAAATACATGCAGGCAGCTGGGTGTGGTGACACATGCCTTTAATCCCAGAACGTGGAAAGCAGAGGCACATGGATCTTTGTGAGTTTGAGCGCAGCCTGGTCTACATAGGAAGTTCAGGCCAGCTGGAACAGAGAGACCCTGTCTCAGAAAGACCAAAGAAAACAAAAAACAAAACAAAAAATGCAGGCAATACACTCATACACAAAATAAAAATAATAAAATACTAAAAAATTATTTTTGCTATTATTTCCTTTGATTGAAATTCATTCATTGTTCTTTTAATGAACTTTAAAAACAATTAAAAATGTTTTAAATTATATTTTATATATTTTAAATGTTTAAATTATTTTTTATTTTCACATAGGTAGAACTGGTAAAAGAAAGGAACCAGGGGCTCCTTCCAAGCCCATGTGACCCTTGGGGAACAGATCCTCAAATGTCCTTAAGAATAAAAATAAATTGGTTTATTTGGGCCAACTGTATGGTCTTAAATACCCAAAAGGAAAGTATAACCAAAGATTAAAGGGATCAATAGAATTCTTTAAGAGTCCCATAGTCCCAAGGCTACCTAACAAGAAACAAAGCCAGACAGGAGATACCTTCCTTTGAGTTGTTGGCCAGGGTGGCCCAAGAGACTCCCAGACAGTAATCCAGCATAGAACTGCTAAAATGAATAGCAGACCCCAATCTTATCTAAAGGAATATTGGTAACTGATTGATGCTAGATAAGGAAGAGCTGATCTCCCTAAAACAAGGAACTCTAGATAGGCTGACTAGATTCAGCAGATAGACAAGCACTGGGGAACTGCTGGGGGAACTGACTGCACAGTGGACAGTAAAAGGGATGACAGAGAGTATATAGGCTCTAGTGGGGGGTGGTGGGCTATGGGAGGGTGCCATTTGGGAAGTGGGTATATAGATGAATAAGATTGTTTGGGATGTTCTGTATGAAATACACACACACAAAATCAAATAAAATGAGTTATATTTGAGGAAGAAACAAAAATTTGTTTCATGTTAATTAGTAGGGGTGAAAAACCTTACCATTGAAATCTACCTGATGACTTTATATCCATGCTCAGGTGCCAAGAATCTCAGAAAGTAACCAATTATGACTAGTAATAATCAGATATATAGAGAGTAGAAATGCGTGTGCAAACATCTAAGTGTTAGTAGCGTTAAAAATGTGTTTTTCTGTATGAAACAGTATATTTTAAAATGAAATGGAGATCTCTTTTAAAGGTTAAAACCTCACTCAATTTTATGTCTTATAGGGTTTATACTGAGTTCAGTGTCATAACTGTATTAATTCAACTATGAACCAAAAAATTTACAGCCAATTTTGAAAGAGATGCATCTTTGCTCAGGAAATTGTTATTGAATATGTTTATGCTGTAATGAAATGCTTCTTCTAATCATGTTAATAATAAATAATAATAAATAATTTAAAAATTTTATTATTTATTTATTTTTTTATTTAGACCAGGTTGGCCTCAAACTCACAGAGATCTGCCTCTGCCTCCCCAGGGCTGGTATTAAAGGTATGTGCCACCACGCCCACCAACAGTTTTATTTTACATATGTGCTGTGCATGTGTGTACAGGTGTGCTTGTCTGTGCATGTCCATGTGGAGGTCAGAGGTCAGCTTCGATTATCTTCCTCTATCATCCTTAACCTTATTTTTGTTTTTCCCTAATGAACTATTCCCTAGCTCTGGGATTTTATTTTTCTAAATATATTTTTATTGACTGTTTTTGGATTTCATACAATATATCTTAATCATATTTAGCCCCCCTTTCCCTATATGCACCCCTGCCTATAGTCCACCACAGGACTTTATGCATTTTGTCATATATGTTATGGCCTATCAAGTCAAGTTCAGCTACCCAGATGTCCTTTGGTGTATGTTCATTCACTGGAGCCTGTTCATCCTGTCTAGTGTCACTCTCTTAAAAAAGGTCAACTCCCCCTTACCACCTTATCTTTTGAGACAGGGTTTCTCACTGAACTTGGAGCTTATCATTTTGGCTAGACTGGCTGGCCAATGAGTCCAGGGATCTACATGTCCTCATCCCACAAACACTAGGGTTACAGGCATGCACTCTCACACACCTGGCTTTTAAAAAAATTAAAAAAATATATATTTTATTATTTTTATTTTATGTGTACGAGTGTGTTGCCTGCATGTATGTGAGTGCACCCATATCATACAATGCTGTGGAGGACAGAAGAGGGCTTCGCATTCCTCTGGAACTGGAGTTAGGGATGGTTTGTAGCCACCATGTGGGTGCTGGGAATTGAACCTGGGTCCTCTGCAAGAGCAGTCAGTGCTCTTAACTGCTGAGCCATCTCTTCAGCCCCACACACCTGGCTTTTACATGGATCTGGGCATCCAAACTCAGGTCTTTGTGTGTGCATAGCAAGCGCTTTATTCACTGGGCTTCCCATCTTCCCAGACCTTCTAGTGAACTTTTTGATATTTGTCAACACGTGGGTTGAGAATGGTTTACAGAAATTATGGGAAGACCTTGGTAACTTTGGAAGTTTTAACCAGTAGAAGTAATATTTGTCTTCCTGGCTGCTGTCCCCCCCCTTCCTTCTCCCCCTCCTCTTCCTCTTCCTCCTCTTTTCATCCTCCTCTTCCTCTTCCTCCTCTTTTCATCTTCCTCTTCCTCTTCCTCCTCTTCCTCCTCCTCTTCCTCTTTCTCCTCCTTTCTTCCTCCTCTTCCTCCTCCTCTTCCTCTTTCCTCTTCTTTCCTCCTCTGTTTTCTTTCTCTTTCCTCTTTTCTCTTCTTCCTCCTCCTCCCATCTCTGCCTCTGTTTTAGGCAGTTTTCCACTGTGTTGGGTATCTGACTGGCCTGGAACTCACAGATATCCATCAGCCTCTGTCTCTCAAGTGCAGGAAGAGCATGAGTTTTGGTTCTTTATTTAATTTCTTTCATTAGTGGGGGCATGTGAACCTTTTAAGGACATACATCACTTATTTAGGCGTTATCACATCAGCCCTGGCAGTTGGAATGCTCTATGTATTTTGTAGGACATGATCACATTGCTTAAGGGTATAGAAATAGAGCGCAAAAATACCACCTCACAAATTTTACATTTGTGTGTGTACAACTGCATGCCTAGAGGAGGACTTTGGGTGACCTCCTTTATGAATCTCTACCGTATTCCTTTGAGATAGATTATTTCACAGAACTTGGAGTGTGCCTTTTTTTGCCCAGGCCAGTGAGTCCCAGTGATCCTTCTGCCTCTACCCCCCGACCCAAAGGTTATAGGTGTTCAAGGCCATGCCTGGCATTTTATGTGGATACAAGGATCTGAACTCAGGTCCTCCTGCTTGTGTGGCAAGTGCTGTTACCCACTGAGCCATCTCCTCAGCCCTTATATTGCTTTTAATGAAGCTTTTCATTTGAGAATTGGGTTGTTAAGTTGTTTTGAATCATAAGTAGAGTTTAGAAGAAAAATAAAAATATTTTTTGTCCCTGCCTCTTGTGTCATTATAAAATTCACAAATTTGCAATAGAGGAATATTATACACAACAGATATGTGGCAGAAGAAATACATGGTCTTACTCATTGCAGTTATAATGAATGAGGGATTTCCCCAACAATTGTTTTAATTTATTTATTTTTAAAATATATTTTATTATTTTTATTTTATGTATATGAGTGTATTGCCTGCATGTATGTGAGTGCACTCGTGTCATGCAATGTCACGGAGGTCAGAAGAAGTCTTCGGATTCCCCTGAACTGGAGTTAAGGACGGTTCGTAGCCGCCATGTGGGCACTGGGAATTGAACCCCGGTCCTCAGCAAGAGCAGTCAGTGCTCTTAACCGCTGAGCCATCTCTCCGGACTGTAGGGTTACATTTGTCCACTGTTTTATATGTATCAATTTGTTTTCAAGTAAGTTATCAACTAGTTTGGGTTGGTTTCCTTTTCTACCTATACACCTGTTGAGGTTGGTTAAGGTGGAAGCAGGCTGCATCAGAGATTCACTTGGGCGGTTGATGTGGTTCGGTTTAGTCTTTGCCTTAGCGCATTGACATCCTGCCTCAGGTTAGTCATGCTAATTTAACCAGCTCTTTAAGTCACGTAGATTGTGCTGCAAAGTGCATGTCTGATTTCTAGAATTTTCTCAAGCCTGGTTTGAACCCCGAGAACACAGTTGCAGTCTTTGGTGACTTAATATTTTATTCTTTAGGTTTTCAGAGATGAGTTTTAGGGGGAAACTAAACACAGTGTCTCAGAACTAGCAGAGTATAAAGCTAGTATATAAAAACTGGAAGAGTTGGGCAAAGAGGTAGGTGGATCTCTGTGAGAGTGAGACCAGCCTGGTCTACAGTCAGTTCCAGGCCAGCGGGGGCTACCTGGAGACCCTGTCTCAAAAGACCCCCCGCCCCAAACAAAACTACAAACAAACAAACAAAAAATTTGGAAGGACTTTCTCTTCTTGATAGCAGTTGTTGAATGATAACACATGGAATGCCCTCAATTTATTTTTTGATGTGTTCTAATTTATTTGCGACTTTGTAAAATGTGTCAAAGTATGCTTTTATATTGGCAACAAATCTAAGATAAAATAGTATATAATAATACAAAAGTTGTATGTCTTACATGTTATAAAACTTTCTTTTTAGGCGTATGGATCAGGCTGTGATATTGTTATTTTGGCAAGTGACTTTGAATGTGTGCAGATCATTCCTGGTGCTAAGCATGGAAACATCCAAGTCAGCTGTGTGGAGTGTTCTAACCAACAAGGAAGAGTAAGAGATTTAATTACTTTATTAAATGTCATCTAAATGTACTAAAAAAAAAATCTCAGAGTATTCATATCCAAATTGTGAAAGCTGAAGATGCGGTAATTGTCTTCCAAGTGCACGATGTGTTGAAGATCTATAGGTCTCACAATTTTAGTCATATTGGTATTCTGTCAGCTGAAAACTCTAGTAACATTTAAGCTGGGGGCTTATTTTCTCTATCTAGCACTTCTTATGTCCTCCAAATTAGAATAAAAGGACCTTTTTGTTTGTTTTTTGAGATGAGCTCTCACTATGTTACCCAGGCTGGCCTTAAACTTCTGGACACAAGTGATCCTCCTGTTTCAGCTTCTGCCCAGTGCTGAGACTTTAGGCCCCTGTCATAGCACTTGATAATAACATTGTATTTTTATCAATAAGGTCAGTGAATTGTTAGTATCAATAGTGGGTGTTTTAATTTAATGAAATTTTATTTGTTCAGTGAACATTTAATAATTAATTCATTAAGACTTTGGAACAGAGGATGTGTTTTGAAGTGACTAAAATTTCATCTTATGGCCCTCTTCCTCAAAATTTTTTTTCCTTTCAAATCTTCAAGGAAACTGTACAGTGAATACTCATGAAAAGTCAGTGTAGTATAGTTAATATATACTCTTTAATTCAGTAAGAGCAGTATTATATAACAGATATGTCTCTATAAGAGTACAAAAATGAAGCTTTTGAAAAAATTATAGTAGATGATTGTAGTAATTTAAACAATTTAAACAATCTTAGTTTTCTAGAAATTGCTCTTTTTTAAGATTTATTTTATTTTTAGTCATGTTTATATGTATGTATACCAGTACTGGAGCACATGGAGGCCTTAGGTTGTTAGCTGCCTGACATGGGTACTGGGAATTGAGGTCCTCTTAATCACTAAGCCATCTCTTCAGCCCTTAGAAATTGTTCTTTATTAAGGAACAGATTTTATCAAGGATCTGTTAAATCAGGATATCCATGGTGGTAATAATTAGTAATCATGAAAATTTATACTGAATAATAAATTATGATTATTATGCTATTTCTCCTGCTCCATTCAGCTGTTTGTATCAGGTTTTTACTGTGTATGCAAATGTACCATTATTTGGATATGATATATTTGAAACACTAAATTTTCTGATGTACCCTGATACTTGTTTCTTGGCTTCCTGTTTTTTTTTTTTAACAATTAATGAATTTTATGAGAGTATTTTATTTTATTTATTTTTATTTTATATGTATGAGTGTATTGTCTGCATGCATGTAAGTGCACCCATGTCATAAAATGCTAGTGGAGGTCAGAAAAGGGTGTTCGATTGCCTGAAACCAGAGTTATGGATGATTGTTAGCCACCTTGTGGGTGCTGGGAATCAAACCCTGGTCCTCTGCAAGATCAGACACTGAACCATCTCTCCAGCCCCTTAGGGGAGTATTTTAAAAATATATAAGATGAAGCTGGCTAAGAAAACAGTAACATAGCAAGACCCTCTCAAAAACAGAAAGATCATTAAAAATATATAAGATTTTAGTGTTCATAACCATGGGAAACAAAACAACCTGTTTCTATTTTCCCTACTTGGTTTAAGGTAAAGAAGGCAAAACGGAGACATCATTATTGCCATGTTCCTTTTTAGTACTCTTATCTACAATTCCTGTGATTATAAGTTAGCAGCTGCCTTAGCAAGACATTTGAAGTAGCTCCCCTACTAATAAAAATCTTTTTCTTGGAAGGAATGCTAGATATTAGGTGGTAGCTAAAAAAAAAAAAAAAATCGCTTTTGCCATGGGAGTGCCCTAACATCACAGTAGGTTTTTTGGCAGACTTTCAGAGAAATGTTTCTAATTTAGTTCTGTGGATTAACTAGGGTACAGAGGGATCAGAAGAGATGACTTTGTTCTGGTCCCTAAAGCTGATTCTCCCCTTGTCAAGAAGATGATGAACTGGGAACTGACCTTCCAGGCATTCTTAGAAAATGGGCTCTGCAATAGAGGGATGATTTTGGAAGCCCTTGTCAAGAAATGCCAGTGGACTTTCATATGAACATTTGAAAATTGCCCTGTTCTTTTTTCTAGTTCCCTGTCTAGAACTTGTAATGGCTAATTACTCTTGTCTTTACTTCTCCTTCACATCTCCTATTCACAATTCAAGAACTTTCTTTTCCCCTTAGATATAAGAGTTATGCAATTTGGGAGTCTTTTAGATAGACCCACTGAAGGGGTACTCCAATTGCCTCACCCTGCGTCCCTGTTCA